ACCCAGATAGCTTCCTGTCTCCCCGCTATAACTTCTCCCCCACGTCACCCTGACTCCTCCCTCTCGGATCGTCATATCCGCCCCGCCCATTTACGCCCGCATTACACTACCCTCCCCCGTACAGAAAATCCCAGCCGTCCTCGGCTGAAACAGAACAAAATAATGCGGGCGAAGGCATCACAATCAGGAGTCCCCCAGACACAACGGAGATTATAACAACAACAACACAAGCAACGAAAGGGGAGGTATCAGGAACTGGAACAGAACACCGGCCTGTCCTCCGCGCAACATCAACAAGAATAAAAATGGCACAATGAACAAAAACGGCAACTGACACGCAAGAACGGCCAACGCGCACAATCCAGAAATGTGATGTTTTAGTGCGTGTCCATGTTGCAGTTCCATCCGCTCGGCTCAAGTCCAACGTCAAAGAGCAAGTGGTAGAGCAGAATGACGAACGGCGCTCAATTGCTCCTTCAAGTCCTCATCCAGCTAGCACACCAGGTAACACCCAGTGCGACGGGAGCTGAAGAATCTGTGACGAGAAGGAGAATCCAATCCCCTGAGGCACAGCACAACAACGCACATCCGCATGTCGTACACGACAGCCACCCGGCCTCAGGGTAGTGGAGATGATGTAAATCCAGCCCGCTTAAAAAAAACTCCCCATAAATACCCAAAATAACGCAATGGATGCCCCATTATTTACATTTTAACAACAATATTATTTACACGTGACAACAACAACAACAAAATTTCCTGCTCTTACCCACCAGCAGTCCTCCCTTGAGGACCAGCACAGACATCGCACGTACACAGCATGTACCCACGGTCACTCTCAGCAACCCAACAAAACGCCTAATCGCACACCCTCGTGTGGAGAGAGCCACGCTCCCCAGCGGTAACGTTTAACTCGCCCTAACCCCCACCGTGGTCGTCAACCCACAGCAACATCCACTGACCATACTCTCAGCTAGTGCAATTTCGGGGATGAGCAGCAACTCGGCCATGCTCCTCCCTTACTATCCCATCGGAGATGGACACACACCAGCCTCGTATAGTCCGATGCTTTATAGCCCAGGGAAGGTTCATCCCCCGGCAATGCCAGACCCCATGGACTCCCCCCACGGGGCAATGTTCTCTTATAGAGACAATAACACCCTAACCCAGATCCCGTGAGCCCCCGGCACACCAGGTTCAGTCTGCCACCGCACAACTGAACCATGACTCCCCGAGCCATATGAGCACATGGCCCATTAGTTTAAGACATACCACGGAGGTTTCGCCTCCGGGCTGTCAGGTCAGCCATCAGCCATAGGCCGAAGTGACCACAACTCGTGCATCACCCACTCAACAATGGCAGGCATAACAGATGGAATATTTGCCCCACCGCGGTTTTTCCCGCGCGCTCAAAATGGCGTCCCCCTTCGCCCAGCGCGTTCGCGCAATATCTCGCGCGCACTCAAAATGGCGGCCCTTTCCGCAAAGCGCATCGTCACCATACCCCGCGTGCGCGCAAAATGGCGGCCCAACGTGCGAACACGTGGCCAGTTTTCTCCATTCGTGCACCCCAGCTTCCCTTAGCTGGGGGTCACAAGACGCATCCCCCGTCACGTTATAACAACCCCACCAACGATAGACGCACAGCCCCAGCTTGCTGCGCACAGCTGTCATATCGTGGAATTTTTAACCAATATTTTACCAACCACATTGGTTACACAACCCAACTCGCCAAGCAACTCGTGGTTGCATGCGATCAACCGAATACGCGACGCCACTTGGCGCCAATTTACGATCCCATTAGCATTAACATCTAAGCCACCCACAACGGCGTCATCGCGCACCCTCATGCTCAAAAGCTCAATTACCCCTATAATATACACGCAATCTCGTGTGCACAACACCCATACAACCAAATTTTTGTGTCCCCCCTCGAATTTGTTACCAATTTCCAACAGGTACGCACAATATAATAACAATCTCAATTCCAATAGTCAACCACTGCATCGCACCCCATAACCATACAGAACGGTATAACAGCACATGCAATCAGCATATCGCGATCACACGCGTACATTTAAGCACAATAGCAAGCAGATCTGCAGGCAACCAACACCATTAATCCTGTCGTAACTTTGCAGCAACAACACAATTATTCTCTCTCTTGCAACAATCGCATCGCACACAGCACCTCGCAGCACAATACACCAAAAAAATATATATTATTTTTTTCCAATTAAGCCCATCGCACAAGGTAACCCACAAATAATACAGCGCAAGATACCCGACGCTCCCAAGTTAATAATTAACTTCACCATCAAGATAACAACTCCACGCAGCAGCGCACACACACAATTTGACACTCAGCAAATACAGCAGACTCTCCGTCCATTCTCAACACACGCACACACTTACATTGACACCAAGCAACAAGCAGATAGCGCGTTCATCGTTATTACACACACATACACACAGTCCGAACCGCGCTCCGCACAATCGAGTCATAAGAGAAAACCAAAATAGCCCCCCGGCCCTCGAAAGATGAGTGAGGTGTGTGTTAAGGCCGGGTGCGTATCGTTATGACTCGCCCGGGGCTGCAGCAAGAAGAGGACGGCAGGGTGGCAACTTGAGACGCCTCGCAGAACTCGTTCGGCGACTTGACGGCTCCGTTGTCACGCACCCGAGCCAGGACGGGAAGCTCCCGCCCCAGCAGCTGCAGCATCGGCGTCTTCTCCTCGCAGCACCCCCTCGAAAAACAGCAGCTCACAGCAGGCTGCTCACCCCGCGGCACCTCCAGATGGCAGCGCAAGGCTGCCTCTCCGCCGCGATGTTGAAGATGGCGGCGTCCTCCCGCCGCGGTGAAGACAAGATGGCGGCTTCCCGCCTTTTCTCCCCTGCCACGCCCAAGATGGCGTCTTCGTGCCACGTGGCAGATGGCGCTGGCAGCGCAGGAAAGGCGGAGGCCTGCGGATCACCACCGGGCCTCCCCGACGCCGTCCTCGGCGTGGTGAACTCACACAGTTGCGCCAGCACGATTTTCAAGGTCTCCATCTGCGCCGCCATCTGTCTCCATCGTAAGTTGGCATCCTCCGGCACAGACAGGTCCACCAACGCGGCGACACCTTGCTCACCCGGACCCGTACTCGTTCCAGCACGGATCTCCTCTTCCATCGCAGGCAGGTCCACCGTCTGAGGAAGGTCGTCGTCGTCTGATGATGTAGCAGATGATGGCGCAGGAATATTCTTTTTTTTTTTTTTTCTCTCAGTTGTTTTGAGATGCCGTTTCACTTCTGACTCCAGTGTAATAAAGGGGACTCAGACACTTCTTGCTGACTCCGTGTCCTTTATTTGGGGTTCGCGTTCTCCTTCCCACACGGCACTCCTCCTGAGACTCTCTCCCTGGCAGCCCCACATCTGCCTTCGCTCCCGTAGCCTTCCACGCTCCTGCAGCTCCGCTGCAGGCTCTTGGTGCAGCCCTCTGGCTGCTCCCCCAGCAGCTCCATCGCTGCTCCCTGTTCCTCCGTGCGTGGCGATCTCGCCACCTCCCAATGTCAGCCCTTCGTGGCCTCTATGGCTATCTCGCCATTTCCTACCTCAGCCCTTCGTGGCCTCTGTGGCTATCTCGCCACTTCCTACCTCAGCCCTTCGTGGCCTCTGTGGCTATCTCGCCATCTCCAACCTCAATCCTCCACTCTCTCTTCCACCCCGCTGGCTGGCGCCGTCATGAGCCCCTCAGCCACCAGGCTGAGGCACGGCGACCACCCAACGTGTTCACCACCCTTCACTCCCCCGACTGACCCAGATAGCTTCCTGTCTCCCCGCTATAACTTCTCCCCCACGTCACCCTGACTCCTCCCTCTCGGATCGTCATATCCGCCCCGCCCATTTACGCCCGCATTACACTTGTATAGAGGACACTATGAAGAAATATATATATTTTAGAAATTAGTTTGTATGCGTTTATGCTGCTTATCGACTAGACAAGCAGGATATATGTGTCTGTCAGGTAAGTGGGTAATTCTTAAGGAATACATCATGAATGGTTTGAATGTCGATTCTTGTCAGATGATTTGATTCCAACTTTCAGATGATGAGATCCGTACAAAGCAACTGCTCAGGTCCAGTCTGACTCAAACCATACACTAATAATTATTAACAGCTCATTGCGGACCACATTCACAATAGAGGTCAATGTCTAAATTATTGCCACAGTGGAGTAGCGTGATTTACCGCTCCACATTGTTGCCCCTAGTGTGGCTGATGAGCAGAAGCCATTAAACACAAACTATAAATCAGGGATGTTTCCGCTTTTGCATTTATTGGGATTACAAGTAGCCGGAATTTTCACAAAGTCGGACTCCTGTGCAAAACGCTTGCTTTACGAGAGGATGACTGATAATGAAAATAAAATTTCCATTGAAATGTAATCACTGAATGATAATGTTATGGACTGTGATAATGGTTCACTGTTGAGTTGTTTTTATAACCAGTTTAACAATTTCAGAGTATTTAATTTTCTTTTAGTGTCTGTTTAAAAATCAGTGTCAGGTCAGGCCAAAAACACAAGCCTGTAGTTCATTATCTTTTAAAGTATTCTTCTGACTTTGAACTAGATTCGATTTGTTTTGTTGATTCTTACATTCGTTTAAACATATTCCAGTTCATATGTATTGTTAAACATGAGGGGAGAGTGAGAGAGGGTGGTGCAGCAATTAGCACACTGCGCAACAAACCCGGCGACCCAAGTTTGATTCCAGCCCATGACCAATAACAGTGGGAAATATTGAACCGGTCCTTGGCCTCCCCTAGGTCGACTCAGCCTCAAATGAGTACCTGGTGCAATGTGTAGACAAAGGAGGCCGGATGTGATGCTGACCACCCATCCCCTCGTGTGCCGTGCCGGCCTTCATAGGTGTTCGCTAACAGCATTTTCCGCAACAGTGTGTTAAAGACTGCACTGGGGATTTTTGTCTTTGTCTTATGATGCTGTCACGCTTTAGCGGAGCTGGAGGAGGATGTCGATGACGATGATCTGCCTACGCCGCGACCTAATGGAGAGGTTCCGCCCAACAGCAATGGCAGTAAGGACAAAGGTACGATCATGAACTTTGGCATCTCTGCTAAGTGTGCGTGCTATTTGCACACTGCTGTTATTTGGACCTTACACCTTGGCAGTGGTCTTCATTAAATGTGTCGTTTGAACCGACGTAACTGCAGCATTGGCCTTTATTGATGGATTCTTCGGCAATATTGCAGCAATCACGGTTGCACTTCTTCTTCTGACTTGCGCTTTTCCATTCCACGGCGATGTACAATGCCCCTTTTTTTAAACATCATTGCACTGAACCTGAAAACGTTACTGCATTGGACTGACAAACTTCAACAGAGGCAGGTTTTTTAAGTCTTTACCTAAGACACATCAAGCAAGATGCAATTCTTGTACAATCGAATCCAGTCTATGCACAGATCATTTAAGAACCCTTTGTGCAAACCTATAGCCATCTTTACAAGGAACAATCCCAAAGAAACATCCCAGGCCATTACCAAATCGTCTTAATTGATCCTTGATCTGGTCCTGATAAATATAAATTAATACTGATGGGAACATCTGTCTTTATTCAGTGTGACCATGACATGAGACATTCATAAATGTTATCGGAACCACTGATTGCACACAGATCATCAGCCCGCGCTTGCTGCTGTGATACCACGTCGATCTCGTGTGAGCACTGATGGTACGAGACCACCGTTTGTCGCGGTGTCGTGGTCCCGAACGGACCACCGTGCCGCTTATCTTATGGCCAGCAACAGACGAGAACGAGCGAGTGCACACCCTTATGTTACTAATACCATGTATTAGTTTGACTTGCATCCCACTGGGATTTTTGCACACAGCGTTGGTGTACGGTGCTTTTTCTGCAATATTTGGCTGTCTTTTCTTGGATTTTCTGTTTGCACGTAGTCACTTAGTCACTTGAAGATGTTTTATTGTTCATGTTTTTGTTTTTTGTTTGTTGCGGTTGCACCCGATTCAAGAGCCGAATGGCTCACAGGGCTATACCAAATAAATTTAACTGAAACTGAAATGTGTGAAGGAGTTCCAGCCCGGGGTAAGTCTTGAACTTCATCACGTGTTCAGCACAGCGAGTAGCACATCGGTGAGTTACTCCGTTCAGGCGCCGCCCCGAACCTTTCTCTCCGCTCCTTTTTTCCCTCTACCACCATCTTTTCTGGAACTTTCCATGACTCTCCACCAATCCCCTTCGTGTCTCCTAACGGTCTCCCAATCGACCCCTCATTTTGCATTTGTCTTTCTTCCCGGGCTTTTTCGAATTACCTTGACGACCAATCTGGATTGAATGGTCTCTCCACCTTCAAATCAGATTGTGCACCCCGACACGTCGGCTCCCCCTCCTGTGTGATCGCTCCTCACCAATGAGAGTCGAGCGCACGATTTGAACTCGCAGGCCGTTAGAGCCGGTCAGTATAAGTTTATTTATTTCTCGATAGGGGTCACCTCTCGGCGTCGATTACAGGTGTATTGAGGCATTAAGTGCAGGTTTGCCCCCACGCCTCGTGATCTGTTGATGGAGGGTTGAACGGCTCAACAACTTGACAGCTATCGCCTCCCCAAGACTGTTACTCTGACAACAAGCCTCCTTTTCCACTATTTTGTTTAGGCACAGCCCACTTTACTCTTCATAGAAATGTCATCGTATTCTTTGGTTTTTTCGGTAAAGTCACGTATAAAGATAAAATAATAAATTAAATAACAGCATACGACGTTTTGATTGCAACACAAGCAATCATCATCAGGTATAATGAAATAGCGACATAAAATCTAACCAGAAAACTATAGACAGGCATATAAGCAGACAGATATCACCAAGATACATAGAGAGAGCAACACAGGTACAGAGAGGGGTGATCGTCTCTGTGGAGTGGCCTTAAATAGACAGAGGGGGGCGGAGGCAGAGAGAGGGAGGGGTTAGAGAAAAAATGTACATGTCAATGAGGCTTATTATTTTATCTTTATACGTGACTTTACCGAAAGAACCAAAGAATAATTCCTGCAGTCACGAAAGCTCCAAAATTAAGAATGTAATCGTACTTTAATAATAATAACATCTATGGGACCTTTTTTCAAGTATCCACCAGTGTGGTCTAACACTGGTGCGACCCATAAAGAAAGCTGTCTGGTGTAGACCAATCAGTTTAAAAAACAATGCATATATGATCAGAGCATGTTTGTTTGTGTGTTTTGCCACACGTGTGTGTGTGTGGTTAATACCGACTTTATGCCTCGCAAAAGGTATCTATTTGGTGTTTGAACATCTTGACACTGGTTTTATTGCCAGAAAGGGTAAAACCTTTGTAGATGTTTATAAATAAAATAAATGAAGCTCTATTTAATTCCAAAAATCTAATTGGAGCACATTTACACACTTGAGGTTTTTTTTCGTTTGAATGTTAATGCCTGGAGCTTGGGGAGTTGAGAATGTCACTCAGGATTCGGATGTACGAGTCAATATCTCTTGGGGGGGGGGGAAGGTTTTCCATGTGTAATAATATTCCTTGAGAGCAAGGGCTCCATATGCAACCGGCTGCAAAACCCACTAATATACACATTTATTTTGCAAAGGCAGACATGAAAAATGTAACGGGACCAAAAGGAAAATAGCAAAATATGCGCGAAACAAACTCACAGGTTATTGTGCAACGATGTATATCAAACAGAAAAAATGCAGTTGTTAAACATAACATTAGCAATTATTGAAACGCCAATATGGGCGAATTGCATGAACGAGCCCTCACAAAATATAGTTGAGCCAAATATAATTGTGAAAAGAAATGTACTTTACTGGTATAGGTGTGTTAATAAATCATACATAAGGTATGCAAAAATGTGTGCATACACAAATCTTAATGGATTACTAAGTGCCAACATAAGGTAATGATCTTGGTTTGAAACAAAGAAAAAGTTCAAAAATTATGATTACATTTTGTCATTAATAAATGGTCCTTTTTCAATTTACTGCTGGATGAAGCCTTGTGGTAATGGGGGTGGTTTGACCATACTTCATCACTTATCAGCGGTTTTCATAGAATGAGAAGGAACCAGTACCGGTTCAGATGTCACTTGACACTGATGTTACCTGTGGGCCGGAAATCAAACTCAGTATCGATCCGAGTCACAAGTGAAACATTTTGTAGGAATCGGCTGGAGGGTCCAATAGCAATTCCACTTGCGTGTGCCAGACTCCATGGGCCCTTCCTCCTTGCGTGGACAGCACTCTGCACTAAAATCTAAACTAAACTATTTTTTATTTTATCAGGTACGCTCCACTGAACTACGTAGCTCTTTTTCAGAAGTGACCTGGCCACAAATGATAGCTCAACAAAGTGGCCGATCATGTGGAAATTTCTAGCAGCAAAATACTCTAAATGCATATTGATTGTAAATGTGGAGGGGAAAAACCAGAGGACACGAAGAAAAATCCACACAACTGCGGCGAGAACGTGCAAACTCCACGTAGAAATGCTCATAAGTCAGGAATCGCACCCTTTAAAAAAACATTTAATCGTTATTTCAGGCTGGGCAATCATGAGAATTGCCCAGCTACCAGCTGGAGTGATCGTTAAGATGTCTGCCAGAATACAATTCTGAATGGACTGCACGATTGATCTCGCGGCTTTTATACACCTCTGTAACCTTGCTGCTGTCCATATCTGTTACACTGGCATACCTTCTGCCTCACCACATACTCTCCACTCTCCACTCTATCACTCGCTACTCGACAATTGTAAAACACTCGCGTCCCCTTCGATGAGTGGCTGCTGCTTCTCTGTGATGACTTCTGCAAGGTGGAGCTGATCACTCGCAGCCGCTCGCAAGCCCAGGGGTAACACGCTCACCGTTGCCTCCGCACGTTACTAATCCTTTCTTGAGGATTTGCTGAGAAAGCCTTTGGGAGTTCCGCTTGCTACAAAAATTCTACCCAATCCCCTAAGCCCTAATCCTCTCATCTGCTGCACCAGACATCTGTGAATAACCTTTCATAAATTTCCTGCGTCACAAATTCCTCATCCAGTAAGTGTAATGAAATGTGCTCATACCTCTTAGCAGCAATTGTAGACTAAGCTTTTTATTTCATATTTCTTATTTGATATATGTGTGCGAACCTGCCTAACATGCTGTTTGGTGGCTGGCTGGGTTGCGCTGTGGCAGATCACTCAATTGACAATTAATCGAAAGGTTGAGAATTCAAGTCCTGGTTCAAGAATAGCTCCAACCCATCATCTTTCTGACGTCAATTTAATGGGCTCCACATTGTGTGCAGATGAATAGTGATTGTTCAATACAGATACATTCTCTGCCACATAAATGTGAACCTCTGACCTCTGCCTCAAGACTTATCCATGGTTGTTTAAACATGCAACGCTAACTTTGTTTTATCGTGCCGTTATATTTAGTATTTGAAATTTTTTGTACGAGTCGCCCATGTTATTTGGTACATTCGACTGAATGACCTCTCCTTTTGCTCATTAATGGCAGTGTCAAAAAGTAAAAATAACATTTTTTTATAATTTCAAGCTGCTTTTAGTCAAAAATAGCTCCACCTGGCAGGTGAAAGGTACAGAGGTTTTTGTGTCGGTTCTGGTGCGTGTGAGGAAACGTCCCCTAGTGACATCCAGATGCAGTAGCAGCATTTTTTTCATGTTACTGGCAGATTCAGGGTTGAATGTTTGCCAATAGTCGATTCAAACGACGGTATTACGACACTGGCGATCGCGATAAGTGTCATTAAACACAGCGTTTGAGGTTCTGCAATTACCGCTGAACTTTTGTTAAATTCCTCGAGCATGAAACCGTCTCGTGCATGATTTATTCCTTTTGCACTTATCTACATTGCAGGGTATTGCGAAAGCTGTAGGATTCTACCTTCAAATGCATGTACTAAATAAAAATATGATTGTCATTAAACTTGACTATTCAGCTCGGGACTCTTGGGCCTTGTTTGAGACTTGGCTTTGAAGTGGCCAGGAGGTGGCAGTGAAGCTGTGGATTCTTGAATCTGGGGCTCTGAGTGTTTTATCTCCACGTATGCGGGTGTGTTCTCGGGGTAATCCAGGTTCTTCCCACATGTCAATCACTCGTGAATGGTATTGGTCAAACGTCCCGTTTGCAGGATCCTCCTGAAAAAGCCTTGTATGTATTTTTCGATTTAAAGCGTTCGTGACTGCAACCTACTATCTTCTTGGTTCTTTCGGTAAAGTCACGTAGAAGGGAAATAATAAAATAATAAAAATAGAACATAATAAAATCAAATTCTCACGACGTTTCGGCCACAACGCAAGCAGCCGTTGAACTTCCTTTGCACCGTAAGTAGCCCACCGTGATAGTCGGAGGTGCGGGGCCTTGAGACCCTGTGAGGCTCGCAAGTGTTTTCCAAACGCACCACGGAAAACAAGTGGATTTGCTTTCATTATCATGTTTGCTCAACCACGATTCAAAAAACACGGCGGCGAGATGTCAACTGCCTCGCCTGGTATACAGAAGGTTGTTGGAGTTTGCATGTTCTCTCCGTAGTCACGTGAATTCTCTCCAGGTCCTCCGGTATTTCCCTCCACATTTAGAAACACGTGTTTCGAGTATTTGGCTGCGATACATTTCCACGTGATAAGCCACTTCGTTGAACTATCATTTGAGGTCATGTCACTTATGAAAAAGAGCTATTTCGCACCATGGGCCTTACCTGCTAAAATAAAAAATAGTTTATTTTGTGAAGAGCTCGAACTTAATGTTGTGTTAGCTCGTACATAGATTCACAATATGAAGACGTGGCTCAGAAACCTAGAGATATATCCAAGTCAAATCATACAGCCGGCAGCATTAAGATCCTGGGGGTCAAATCTCATGTCCCATGTAATATATTATTGTTTTATCAATTGTAGCGAGTTAATGGTTGTTTTTCATAGTTGCCAAACACTACGAAACACAAAGTACTGTATGCATTTGGTTATTTACTTGAAATGTCCTTGATCAGATCTACGCTGCAAACATCTCTTTTTTTATAATTGTGTAATGAAAAGATCCCCATGGTCAATCATGATGGAGCATTGCGTTGTGGTTTTATTCAGCAAGTCTGTTGAAGAAATACCATAAACTATAATTTGCAAACGTAATAACCTCTGCTTGTCGACAGTGAGATCCCATCGTAATTTTTTTTTCATTTCAATATTACTTATGATATAATTGTGGTAAAACTTGGTAAATAACTGTATTTAACCCGAAGGGGTGGAGTGGTGTCAGTGATGAATGCACTGCATTATAAATCCATCTTCCAGAATTTCCAGCCACATCAGTGATGAGTAAAATCTGAACCAGTCCTGGGCCACCCGCTCACCAACCTGCACTGATCAGAGTGAAATATGGACAAACAAAACCCCATTACCAATATGGTGTGACAGGACTTACATCCACTACTGAATTGACAAAGGGATGGAAACCATCTATTACGAAATTAAACCATGTTTAAGTGTAAACATTTTGAGAAAAAAAGATTAAAACGGTAACCTCAGTAAGTTAACTTCTGCTTTAATATTGGACGTTGACGCTAACTTGATTTATCTCCAACTTGAACAATACTCACCTCCATGTAAAAAAAAAATGTATATTTCTTTCGACATTCTTCAAGCAACACAATCAGCCGTTTGTCATTAACAAAACACTTCGTGTCCTTTCTCTGAGCTGTTTGTTGTTTTGGAAAATTTATGTACACCATCGTGTTTTTTTGTTTACCCTGTGTGTGTGTGTGTGCCCGTGCGCATGCAGTGTTCCCACCTCACTTGCCCAAGGGAATGAATGGGCTGGATTTCAAAGGGGAGGCTATCACGTTTAAGGCCACCACTGCTGGAATCCTGTCCACACTTTCACACTGCATCGACCTCATGGTGAAATGCGAGGAGGGCTGGCAGAAGCGTCTGGAGAAGGTGACGCCACCGCACTTGGAGAAATGTTAACGGTTTTTATTATAGACGAAGCGACGTTGCATATTGTGGATTGACACGTGGAAATAAATGTGTACCAACAACACCAATCTCTTGCCTATTATTTTCCGTATCTTTGTGGCCACTAATCCTTTTTTTAAATTATGCATTTAGATTTTTCATCACTCATTTCAGTTTGATATACTACTCTTAAGTAGTATTATTTAACACCATCTGCCATTAATAATTGGATATCATTATGTTCAGGTGTCATTGTCCATTATTTACCAATTCAGTTTTAATGTTCCCAAGAATATTTCAAAAGTAGAAAACATCAATTTAGAAAACTGCCTGCCAGAAGACTTTACAGATGATCTCCGTCGATATCAGCAACTTACGTTTATTATTTGTCTCAGTTTGAAAAACATGAAAGAATTGTATTATTTTATGTCTAAGATTCCTCGGGTTTATTTTTATGGATTTGACATCAGACATTGTGCGTTTCTAATGTCTCTCTGTACCGTTAGGTACGGTTGTGTTTGATCAAAACATTCTTGTCAGTCGTTGTGGCAATAAGCAATGACACCACTATTTACCAACCTTTATAAAGTCATGTGAGCTTTTAAAAAAACTATAATAAGCCATTATCATTAATAACCGCAATATTAAAAAACATTTTATTTATTTAATGGCTTTGTTCCTAATATTGGCAAATGGCTATGATATGCTTATATTTAAATATCAGGAGTATTGCAAATCCTGATGCATGAGTGTGGCAAGGGCAGCCGTTTGAGATATTCGTTCTAAGCTTAATACACAACTATACTTCTGTAATGCGGGCGTAAACGGCCCTCCGGAGGTGACGTCAGGAGGGGAGGAGTTAGGTCACGTGGGGGGGTGAGGGGTTAGGCTATAGAAGGAGGGGAACCGGAAGAGGACGGGAGTGACGGGGAACCAGGAACAGAGAGAGGCCACGAAGGGCGAAGCGGAGGGTGGCGAGATCGCCACGAACACGGGGGAGCGAGGATCGGCACCGTTGGCCAGCGGTGACCGACCCGAAGCAGCGAGGAGGCTGCAGTCAGCAGCGGGGCTGCACAGAGAGTCAGCAGCGGGGCTGCATACAGAGTCAGCAGCGGGTCTGCATACGGTAGCAGCCAGAGGGTCTGCACATAGGGGTAGCAGCGGGAGTCTGCATAGAGGTAGCAGCGAGTCTGCAGGGAGGAGGTTACAGTAGATGAAGCAGAGAGTCAGAGGGAAGAAGAAGCTATAATAGCAGTGAATAGCCGGGGGCTACAAATACAGAGTTATAACAGAGTGCCGTGTGGGTGAAGACGAGAACCCAATAAAAGACACGAAGACAGAAGGAAGTGTCCGAGTCCTTTTATTACACTTCTACACGTAAAAACAGCTGCTTGAATTCTACTATTTCTTCATCTGAAGCTCCACTTGGCAAAGGATATAATAATGTATAAAATGACTTATACTTATTGAACATGTGCATAACATTGTAGAATCGAATGACTTGTTAAGAATGTATGATTATATCTTGCCTTTGGCATCGAATGAAAATGCCTATGATCACCTATCGGTGCATTTATGAAATGGTGGTATTAGTTCCTCCATCAGCCCCACATGGGATGGAAAAAAACTTATCACTTTGTGCACAGAAGTGTGACGATCTTTTTGAATAACTTCAGGTGTTTAACTCAGAACTGTTTTACTTGTGCTCGTCAGTAGTCTGATCAAAATAAGATCCTTCACAATATTTATCAATTAAAGTTTGCCTGTCAAACGTGTTGCAATTATATCTCCGCAAGCGGGTGCCACCTCTTGACTAGATCCTGCTCGATCTCCTCGGTGTAGACATCCTCTCGGATGAGTTTCATTCCTTGGCTGAGGCTCCATTATTGTGCTTGACCACCATCCCTGTTTACGAGTAAATGTGAAAGAAATACTTTTTGTGGTGGAGTTTGCAGTCGTGCTATAACTGTGCCGGTGCTTTAGGCAGTGATGTTGTCTGTAACCTTGCACTTATTTTCGGTGACATCAGGAGCAGGACAGAAGGAGGCGCTTGGAGGACGCTTACAGATACGCGATGGACAAGCTGACGGCAAAGGCTTACATGGCAGGCCCGGATTTTGAGGTATGTGAAAGGTTTTCTAGCTCCTTTGCTTTTGTGTAAATCCAGTAATACACCTTGAATACATTTCCATGCTGTATGTTAAATTAGTAGGTTGCTTTCTCGATTTAAAGCTTTCGTGACTGCAGGGATTCATCTTCTTGGTTCTTTCGGTAAAGTCACGTAGACGCTGTCTTTCCGACGCTGTCTTTCCGACGCTGTCTTTCCGGCAGACCTGTTCTTCACCTGTGGACGGCTGCGTTGCGTTGTGGCCGAAACGTCGTGAGAATTTTATTATGTTAAATTTTTATTATTTAATTATTTCCCTTCTACGTGACTTTACCGAAAGAACCAAGAAGATAGTAGGTTGCTTTTATCACTCTATTCAACCTCTGGGTTTGGCCTCTTTCTGCCACATGATCCAAGCGTTGGCAACAGTGATGGCAACCAAGTTTGTGTTTTTATGACAATATGTTCTGCTCTGCCGTAAGACTTACCGTGACACTGTACCAAATCTAATCTCTAGATGTTGTCCTTTGCTTAAAATACCATCTGGATGACAGTTATTTCACGTTAATTTGTTTGCACAAATCTGATATTCACAAGTGCTGGTTTCAAACTTTTCTTGTGTGACATGAGAGCCAATGACTCTAAGGTGGTTACAGCCGGTGGAATTCACGTTATTCTGATGAAATGGCACGATTTATAGTGCAAAACCTCAAATGTCAGCTCTGAACAACAAAGCCTATGTCAGGTGAACAAATATCTTAGCAATTGTTCTATGTCAGCATCTTGTGTTTGTGTGTATTGAACATGTTCACCATAAGTACATATGGTTAATGCAGACTTCATTCCTTGCAAAAGGTATCTGTGTGATGTTTGGACATTTTCACACCTGTTGTGTTGCCAAAAAGAGAAACCTATTCTTATTTGTTATACTTTGATACTGGCAACAAGCTCCCATGATATAGCTGCTCACCTCGAGCTATAAATGTTCTGCTAGGTGCATTGCCTTTGTGCTGTTCGTCTTTTGGCTTTCACTGGTCTGACACTGGTGAGACTAGGCCATCAGGGAGGCTCTCCCTCGTGTAGGCCAATCAGTTTCAAAGACAATGCATATACTCATTGGTTCTTTCGGTAAAGTCACGTATGTAGAAATACAAATAAAATTCAAATAAAACACGACGTTTCGAACGCAACACAAGCGCTCATCATCAGGTGAAAATGGGGCAAAACACATAGCGAGGGAACACACAGAGAGACCTCACGTGACACAGAGCACACAGAGAACGGCAAACTGCACGGAGGCAAATACAGCAAGAAGATGGGAGACGCAAACTCAACAAACCTTAGAAACAATGCGATGCAAACCAGTCGGCCAACAACACAGACACTAACCTGGTTGACCACGTATTTCAAAAGACTGCTACATTTTGTGTTCATCTTCTGGGCTGAACATACCAACGTAAACAGAGGACAGGGACTCGTGAACAGACACGAGGTACAAGGTAGCAGAGATACATACACAGAGAAGACGCACAGGGAAAGGTGTTTTGGGCAGCACAGAGGGACAACCAGAGCAACACCACACCAAGAGACGTACACACATGGAGAGGCACACACAGAAAGACGCACGGAGGGATAACGTACAGGGACTTGTATAGGCTGTAAAGGTGGGGGAAGGGAAGGGGCGGAGAGAAGGACCAATGCAGGCAACAAATCGTGGGAAACAATGGGGAAACGAAAACGGAGACACCAACCACGGAAAACGAAGCAAAATTACAACAAGCAGAGATACATACACAGAGAAGACAACACAGGGAAAGATGTTTTGGACAGAATTGTAAGGTCAACCTACCCGTAGAGGTGGATGAATGCATATATTTTGGAACATGATTGTTTGCATGTTTTGCCACATGTAGGTGTGGTTAATGCAGACTTTTGATGCCTCGTGAAAGGCATCTGTGAGGTGTTTGAACATCTTAACACCAGTTTTATTTATATTCTTAGGTTTTTTTCGGTTAAGTCACGTAAGTAAAACATCAAAATAAAAATAAAATAAAAATAAAAATCACGACGTTTCGGAGGCAACACAAGTCTCCGTCATCAGGTGGGACCGTCACAGCCGAATTAGCTGCATCAAGTGAAGCAATGATTCAAGATGTAATCCCTTATAAGCAAGTTGAAGGGAGGTGGAGAGGGGGGGGGTGGAGAGCTTATCAGACTGTGGTAGCCAATGAATGGAAACGTATCGGGAGGGAGGAGGAGCGGTGATCAAAGACTGCACGCAGTGCTCAACACAATGAATGGAAACGTATCGGGAGGGAGGAGGAGCGGCGATCAAAGACTGCACGCAGTGCTCAACACAATGAATGGAAACGTGTCGGGACGGAGGGTGAGCGGCGATCAAAGACTGCACGCAGCGCTCAACACAATGAATGGAGACGTGTCGGGACGGAGGGTGAGCGGTGATCAAAGACATCACGCAGTGCTCAACACAATGAATGGAAACGTGTCGGGACGGAGGGTGAGCGGTGATCAAAGACTGCACGTGGGGATGTTAACACTCGGTGAAGTAAATTAAAATAGTGCCTATCAGATAAGATGGCCCAAAAAAGTGTAATTAAATCTTTTTTGCGTGGTTAATAACATCTTTCCAATGATTACTGAGTTTGTACCCATCATCACGGTTGAAATTATGTCTGTGTTTGTATATTTGTATGGCTTCGTGTACAAACCTTTGATGGTAGCCAGGAGGTTTGCAGAGAACCTTGGTCTCGGAAAAGACAATTTCATGAGAGCCCGCCGAGTTGTAGCAATGATCGGCAACGGCCGAAGAAACAGTTCTGCCGTGTTTCAGATCTGACTCCCTTCAACTTGCTTATAAGGGATTAAGGGATTAAGGATGTCGTTCCTGACTTACAGTATCCTGAAGTCTACAAATTGAGTTGCATTTGTGGTGATTGCTACATTGGAGAAACAAAACGTCATGTGGCTGATCGTGTCCGCGAGCACAAGTCAGATCTGAAACACGGCAGAACTGTTTCTTCGGCCGTTGCCGATCATTGCTACAACTCGGCGGGCTCTCATGAAATTGTCTTTTCCAAGACCAAGGTTCTCTGCAAACCTCCTGGCTACCATCGAAGGTTTTTACACGAAGCCATACAAATATACAAACACAGACATAATTTCAACCGTGATGATGGGTACAAACTCAGTAATCATTGGAAAGATGTTATTAACCACGCAAAAAAGACTTAATTACACTTTTTTGGGCCATCTTATTTGACAGGCACTATTTTAATTTACTTCACCGAGTGTTAACATCCCCACGTGCAGTCTTTGATCACCGCTCACCCTCCGTCCCGACACGTTTCCATTCATTGTGTTGAGCACTGCGTGATGTCTTTGATCACCGCTCACCCTCCGTCCCGACACGTCTCCATTCATTGTGTTGAGCGCTGCGTGCAGTCTTTGATCGCCGCTCACCCTCCGTCCCGACACGTTTCCATTCATTGTGTTGAGCACTGCGTGCAGTCTTTGATCGCCGCTCCTCCTCCCTCCCGATACGTTTCCATTCATTGTGTTGAGCACTGCGTGCAGTCTTTGATCACCGCTCCTCCTCCCTCCCGATACGTTTCCATTCATTGGCTACCACAGTCTGATAAGCTCTCCAACCCCCCCCTCTCCACCTCCCTTCAACTTGCTTATAAGGGATTAAGGATGTCGTTCCTGACTTACAGTATCCTGGAGTCTACAAATTGAGTTGCATTTGTGGTGATTGCTACATTGGAGAAACAAAACGTCATGTGGCTGATCGTGTCCGCGAGCACAAGTCAGATCTGAAACACGGCAGAACTGTTTCTTCGGCCGTTGCCGATCATTGCTACAACTCGGCGGGCTCTCATGAAATTGTCTTTTCCGAGACCAAGGTTCTCTGCAAACCTCCTGGCTACCATCAAAGGTTTGTACACGAAGCCATACAAATATACAAACACAGACATAATTTCAACCGTGATGATGGGTACAAACTCAGTAATCATTGGAAAGATGTTATTAACCACGCAAAAAAGACTTAATTACACTTTTTTGGGCCATCTTATCTGACAGGCACTATTTTAATTTACTTCACCGAGTGTTAACATCCCCACGTGCAGTCTTTGATCACCGCTCACCCTCCGTCCCGACACGTTTCCATTCATTGTGTTGAGCACTGCGTGATGTCTTTGATCACCGCTCACCCTCCGTCCCGACACGTCTCCATTCATTGTGTTGAGCGCTGCGTGCAGTCTTTGATCGCCGCTCACCCTCCGTCCCGACACGTTTCCATTCATTGTGTTGAGCACTGCGTGCAGTCTTTGATCGCCGCTCCTCCTCCCTCCCGATACGTTTCCATTCATTGTGTTGAGCGCTGCGTGCAGTCTTTGATCACCGCTCCTCCTCCCTCCCGATACGTTTCCATTCATTGGCTACCACAGTCTGATAAGCTCTCCAACCCCCCCCTCTCCACCTCCCTTCAACTTGCTTATAAGGGATTACATCTTGAATCATTGCTTCACTTGATGCAGCTAATTCGGCTGTGACGGTCCCACCTGATGACGGAGACTTGTGTTGCCTCCGAAACGTCGTGATTTTTATTTTTATTTTATTTTTATTTTGATGTTTTACTTACGTGACTTAACCGAAAAAGAACCTAAGAATATGAATCTTTGCAGTCACGAAAGCTTCAAATCTAGAACCCGTTTTATTGTCACAAAGGGTAAAACCTATTCTTAGTTTTCATGTGTGTTTGTGTGTTCGCAGCTTTGTGGTATTGTGGTGCACCTGATGGCTTTTCATGATATTGACTTCATGTTGGACTTAAATTAATTGTCATGAATGTCCCTTTAATAATGTAATTAAAGTTCAACGAATTGCCTGCCTTAAAAAAATTGTACTAATTGGCAGGTAAGATTTTATAATTCTATCCTTTGTGGAACTGGTTCTTCAGTATTCAGCCCTAGGCGTTATATACATCATATAAA